AAAGTATGATTTGAAAAGTGGATATTTTGATGATGTCAAAATGTCAAAAAGTACCTATTTTTATTTATTTATAAATACATTTTTACTGATTTCAGAGAGGAAAGGATAGGGAGAGAGAAACATCAATGAAGAGAGAGAACCACTGATCAGCTGCCTCCTGCACGCCCCCCACTGGGGATGGAGCCCACAACCTGGGCAGGTGCCCTGACCTGACGGGGAATCGAACCGAGACCTCCTGGTTCATAGGTCGACGCTCAACCCCTGAGCCACGTCGGCCGGGCGGGCTCATTTCTCCCATTTTCATTGCTAAGCGACCATGTCTGTCCTTGTCCGGATCTCACTGCTCTGACAGGTCTGCAGCACAGACGTGTGCGACCCGCACGTGTTCCCGAGAACCTCAGCGGCCGTGTCCCCCTGACAGGCGTGCACACGCGCCCGCAAGCTCGGCCCCTTACCTGTCCAGCAGCGTCAGCAGGGCCAGGCGGTCGTACCAGACCTTGATCCACTTGCCGGGGAAAATGAGGAACTTGTAGAACTGATCGCGGTTGAACTTCCCTGGGGCCGACGAGCAGGACAAGGCTTCCAGGTCCTGACTCTGGTGCTGCCGGAGCCGGAGAGAAGAGAGAGACGGTTCACACCGACCTGGGGCTGCCGTCGAGGCACCTCGTCATTTAAGACAGGGGTCCTCAAACTTTTTAAACAGGGGGCCAGTTCACTGTCCCTCAGACCATTGGAGGGCCGGACTACAGTTTAAAAAAAAAACTATGAACAAATTCCTATGCACACGGCACATATCTTATTTGGAAGTAAAAAACCAAAACGGGAACAAATACAATATTTGTATTTGCCTGTGGCCCGCAGGCCGTAGTTGGAGGACCCCTGATTGAAGAGAAAGGCAGATGCTCACGTTCTGGGACGTGAGACGACGTCGTGCATAAAGGCGGAGCCCCAAGACAAGGACAATGGCCCGCAAAAGGCCTTCCTCACCCGCACACCTCACGGCCACGATGTTGTGCCATTAACTATGCTACTCACCCTGTCACAATCCTACTGTCTTATTTATTGTTCTTTCTCTGTTTTAAATATATTTTTATTGATTTCACAGAGGAAGGGGGCGGGAGAGAGACAAACATCAATGATGAGAGAGATTCATGGATCGGCTGCCTCCTGCACGCCCCCTACTGGGGATCGATCCCACAACCCAGGCATGTGTGCTTGACTGGAATTGAACCTGGGACCCTCCAGTTTGCAGGCCGAAGCTTTATCACTGAGCCAAACCACCTAGGGCTCTTTAGGGGATTTTGGGGGCAATTTTTATTTCCATCAGATAGACTGCCAGAATAGAATAGCTGGATCAATGTATGCAAATATATTCAAAACTGAAATATATTTGTGAAAGGCACATTATTTAATGTCATGTTGAGATAAACATGCCAATCTTCCTAAGAGTAAAAAGACTTTTATTGCCAACGTGTGAGGCCTGATATCAGAAAAATTGAAATTTTTCTAGAAAAAAAAAAATCTAAACCAGTAAGACAGAAACAGGTGGGGAAATTTAGGCCCCGGTTTAGCATGTTTGAACCCCAAATCCACCTGCGATGGGCTCGCATCCAGTGGAGAAGAGTTCAATTTTGGAGAAAACAAAACAAAACAGGCTTCATGGGTTTGTCTGACGAACACGGACCGAAGGGCCTGGGAGCCTGCACGAGGCTGGCACAGGGACACGAGAACCCGGCGGGCTCGGTCCTGGCATCCGAATGCCGTACGAGAACCTCCCGCAGACACCACGATGGCCACGCAGATTCAGAACCACGAGAGGCAGCCCAGGGCGCAGCTGGGAAAGTGGGGGGACCTCGGTGAGGCCGAGGGACCTGCAGGTGGAGGGAGGGACAGGGAGGACACAGAGGGGGAAGGAGGAACCCAAACGTACCTCCTCCAACACCCGACACGTTAAAAACAGACGTCGTTAAAAAAGCCCATGACGGGCACTGCCAGGGACTGCATATGCCATGAAGAACCAATTAATAGTTGCCCCATTCATTCATTATTGACGAGGAATAAGAGGCTCGTACTGCTCAATGTCTCAGGAAACTAGAGACTGTGCTCTTTAAACCTAACGTGTCCTAAAATGCGGCTACATCGCCGTGTGGGGGTCTCCTGGACGGATATAGTGACACAGCCACGGCCCAGGGATGTCGTACTCGGGCCAGACCTGCCCGATGCGGCCAGGCATCCCCCCGGAAATGGGGCCCAGACGCCTGACTCCACGAGGCTCCCGCACAGCCAGGGGGGACCTACCCGGGGGGCGTCCGGCTGGGTCCTCTGCGCCACCATCAGCAGCAGCTGCTGCTGGAGCGGGCTCACCGAGGCGTCCCCCGAGGAAGGGTCGGGGCTCCCGGAGCTGGTGCTGGAGGAGCTGGCCGGAGCGTCTCTGGGGGCAAGACAGAAGCCGGGTTACCCTCTCCTGTTGTCCTGGGGTCGCGTCTGTCGCACATAGCGGGGGGCGCTGGTGCCCCCGATGTGGGCAGTGAGGCCAGGGAGGAGGATGGACGTGTGTGTGCAGAGCCTCTTCCGGGACAATCGCCCGGGCTGTCGGGGTGCCTGGGCCCTCAGGGCCGTCTGGGGTGACAACCTTTGTGTTCCCTATTTTTTTAAATATATTTTTATTGATGTCAGAGAGGAAGGGAGAGGGAGAGAGAGAGAGAAACATCCATGATGAGAGAGAATCATGGACCGGCCCTCCTGCAC